TTTAAAAGTATAAATTAAAATTCGATTAATTTTTTAAGGTGGAAGTTGAGATTAATCTATTACATATTAACTATGACACTACCCCGCAACTTGGGGAAGAAGTTTGATATTGATACCCTTTCTATATTGTGTTTTAGGGAAGTAGGAAATAATAATATACTCGTGGTCTTACTCACTTGCAACCCATAATTTTCTTATTTATGTTTTTCTCCTAATCCTTCCTCGTTCCTTATAAATTCTTATACTTTAAAAATTAATTTTTTTATTGCACCTTTAATATTTTTGAATTGTTACAATTAGCTCTATGATGTTTTAATTTTAACAATTTATCCCTTTTAGTTGCATATTAAAATTAACTATTTTAATTAGTTTTCAGACATCAAAAGTAACGGACGTGGAAAATAAGTGATCATTAAGTAGCTAAAATAATAAAATTATCCTTTCTTAGATTTTTCCTATCTCATCGTGTAACCCATAATCTCCTAATCTTTTCTTCCTTTCCCTGATGTCCTGACTCCCAGTCCTCACGCAGTTGACTCAAGCGAAGTGACACCCATTTTTAGGAAAAAAATATTCATTATAACAGTGATATCATGTGTGATAATGTTCACATAATATAATTAACAAATAGTTTCAAAATAAATAAATAAATAAATAGATCCTATAAAAATTAATAACCAACATTCCACATAAGCAAATAACTATCCAAATAGGGTTCACCTTATCACGTCAACATTATTGACATTATATCACTGTTGCATTCAATATTTACTCCACTTTCAAGTATATCTATCTCTTTTTTTATCCCTTTGATAATGAAACCTTCTCCGTGAAATCCCTTATAGATCTCTCTCTCTCTCTCTCTCTCTCTCTCTCGCACGATGAATCCCATGTGAATCCCCCTCATTCATAAATCTCTCTCTCTCTCTCTCTCTCTATTTAATGGTGAATCCCTAACTCATCAATAAATCTAGTTCACTCTCTTTCCTCAACGATCAGACCTCTCATTTGAAAGCCTTGCAGAAAATTCTCCCCGACCATCAGCCACAAACCAAACACGTTAGTTTCGTCGTGACTGCTCCACTATAACTTCCTATATAAAACCCCGGAACAATTCCATATAATTCAGAGCGATAATGATCTCCATAAGAAGTAAACAATACAATCCTCAAACAATGAGCAAGTTCTCATGCAAATCAGAACGCTAATAGTTTTCACAAGCAATAAATGATACAATCTTCAAATAATGGGTAAGCTCTGATATCAATTGTAAAACCCCGATTCAATTCCATAAATATAACGAGTATTTGCTATTAAACTCATCATATAAACATACTATACACATATTTGATATGACTCGGTCATAAACTTGTTACAATTCATATATGTACATCAACCTTATTATAATTTACATGCCTTAGACACACTATTCAACACTTAGAATGAAAACTAGTAGTTTAAATATTTACGAACTTTCCCGCCATCGACTAATTTGAAAAGGGGAAAATAATATAAGGTGAGCATTAACAGTTCTGTAAAGTAACTCAATATCAGGCATGCAAGTTTGAAAATAAGTAAATTTGACATTATTGGACATCACAACAGTTCATTTCATATATAAATAATAGAGCAATAAATGTTGAATGAAAACAATTAAGTTCAAAAAAGTAGTAAGATCACAATATCAATACAATGCCACACCTGAGAACACATTATTTTAATAGACCACTTAAGGTCGATACGAACTAGCCATACAAAGCAATCATTTAGGGATTGTGTCCTAAGAAATATACACTCCCTAATTCAATATGAACTAATTCGGTACCCAAGTTTGAAGACCAGCTAGACCACCCAAGCATTTACGAACTAAATGAAACCCTCTACGGTCTCAAACTAGAACATAAACCCTTTGTCACTTGATATGTGTGCACTTATATTTAGTTCAAAAGGATCCCAGAGTTTCATTCAATACGATTGATACGAGCATTTCGAACAGCCTTAGTCGAGTCCGAATTTTGATTCAATATCAAAACACTCAATCATATCTTTCTAAAACATGTTAAGTATCATAAATAACTTATGGAATAATTTAGAACAAGTTAGAAAAGTTTTGCCTGTTCCGAAATTGAGAAAGTCCTATTAGTCTTGATTCAAAATTGTTAAAAATAAAATGGTGTTAATTTTTAATTAAATTTCATATACATACTCAATTTAAATATTTAATAGTGAATACCAATTTTTTTTTATCAACATCACCAAAAAAACTAGGTCAAATCTACCCTAGAGGGCAAAACGAATATTTTACACCTCAAATTAACCCGAGTATTGGATCGCGATGTTACTGGGACCTTCGTATGGATGCTACAGAGCTTTTGGGACCAACCAGAGGTCCATCGGACCTTGAACGCATCCTCACGTGCCATTGGGACCCATTGGTGTTCCCCTCCCCACTTTATCTTCTTCCTTGGTCATTTTGACCAAAACCCTAAGTTCCTACTTTCTACCAATCATCTTAACTCCTCAACTTCTCCCTTCTATTTCTAACTCTATAGAACATCCCTCCATCTGATTTATGAGCTTACACACTCTTTGTATACCCTTCTACCAAACCCCATAGGTTATATGCCTCGAATTAATCTTGAACCCCTTCAAAAATTCGGTCAAAGTGAGCTCAAAACTCACTTTCAAGAACAAGGTTGGACTTGAAACTCTCATTTTCATCCTCTAAACGACCCCAAAACCAATTCTAAGGCCATAATCAAGTACCTAGGGTCCAACTTAGCTAGGGGTCCCCTAATTCGAAGCCCAAACATCCAAACCAAGGAGATCAAATTCTCCACTACCAAAACTTCCCCACCACCTTCACATCACCAACAGCCATGACAAGCCACCAAACATCACTCGAACACCCCTAGAAGACAACCCTATGCTTCAATTAAACCAAAACACTTGGGATTTACAAACCCGTTTCATGAAAACCTAAAACCCGAAACTTTAAACTTTGAATTCGTTATTATGAAACAAAATTCTAATCATACTACTGAATTCCTAGCATCCATATTAGTCTAATAGTATACCTCTTATTGTTTGAAGATTCTTTTATGGAAAACCCGAATATTCAAGCTTGGGTTGTCTCTCTTTCTTCTCTATCTCTCTTTGAACCAATTTTCTCTGCTTTTAAATCCTTCAAACAAGTTGACTCACTTTCAAGCTGCTGGATGGAGTTCATGCAAGCCAAGAGAAGCTCTACCCCGCCACCAAGCCACCAAGGGAGGTATTTGTCACTTCAAGGGCAATCTTGTAATTACTCATTTTGAATAAATTTCAAAAATTAATTAAAAATATTATTTTTTTAAAATTACAAACATATTAAATAAGTCGCTAGAAAATTTTCAATTAAATTATTAGGAATCAAATCAACCTTTGATTTTGATCCGTGAACACCATTCTCACACCTCTAACTCTTTCGTTTGTACTAATCCTACTTCGTCCGATTGTGATTCCTGACTCGTTTTCTCTCCACCACACGCACTATTATTAAGTGTTATCATAGTTGGACCGGACCGTCTGGTCCAATCAGTTCAACAATGAACCAGGACCTTAACCGGTCCGATTGACTAGTTAAACCGGATAAGGAAGGGAACCTGATGAAAACCGCCAAATCGGCTGATTTTTGGAGAAAACCGTGAACCGGACGATTTGAAGTCAATTAAAAAAAAATAAAATTGAACGCAGAAGCTTTTTTTGATTTTGCCCTAAATCTTGCAGAAGCATAAGACAACAGCTTCTTCTCTCTCCAGCGATAGGGAGGCAGTGGCAGTGAGCAGCTTCGTCTCAGACGACACTCAGGCGACAACTCATGCGCACTCAGGCGATCACTCAGGTGACCTTTAGATCCTGTTGCAAATCTGCCAATAAAACACACAAAAAGTACTGATTAATGACAAAAAAGTTTACAATAAAAATGCATCATGGTAGCTAGTTTTGATGAATCTATTTTTGTGCATCATTATTAAATTCTTGATTAGCTAGAGCTCCTTGGATTTTAAACCCTCTCTTTCTCTCTCGGTCTTAATGGATGTTGCTGTCTTTCTGCATTTATTTCATGAACATTTTTTCTCAAGATAGAATGAAAAGATACAAGTTTTATGCCTATTTGTGAAGTTTCTATATGTGCAGTGCTTTTCTGTATGAGAGATTCGAGTGAATTTGTGAGTGGGCTGTTGTTGGGTTGACAGAGAGAAGCAGTAGGAGAGTTATAGTTTGATTACTCTTTCTCAAGTTATGATATTTTATGGCAAATTGTATGCATTTTAGACATATTTTTTATTTTTTAGTTAAATTATAATATTTTGTAATTATTATATATATATTTTTATTTTTTTATTATATGATCTGTTCGACCAATTGACCCATCGGTTGAACCAACGAACCATTGACCAAGTCCCCTAATCGGTTCGTTGACTATTCTGGTTCTGATAACATTGCTATTATATTGTAAATCAACCTTATACATCACCATAACATCTACGTACACACTTTGGAGCTATCAACTCCAGACCTGACTCTCCGAACTTCGAACCCCTAACCATATTTTTATATTATTTTGAGGATACAAGTTTTTTATTTTTTATTTATGATGTTTATTTTATTTAGAGTAGTTTGGGCCTTTGAAAATAATTTGGGGGAGATAAGATTGAGGGTTGAGGACCTTGAGATCAGATTTATACTTTCTCATTCTAGTTAGTTATGTGAGTTAATTTAGTCAATTTGACATTTTGAGGGACAATTTGTTAAAATTGAAACTTGAGGTAGTTAATTGGAATAACACCCATAGTTGAGGTGTTAAACAGCAAAAGTNTGGGTCAGGATTGGCCTCAGATGTCGCTAAGAATTTTGATTTTAAGTTTACTATTTTTCCTAAGCTCGCGGAGTGTAAACATAAGCGAACAGAGGTGAAAAGGAAGCATTCTACGAGAAAATCATTTGTCAGGTTTGCAATGTCCTTTTTGGAAGTGGGGAAACCTGGACTGTTAAGGTGGGTATTACAACAGAAGGAAATGTATTCAGGTGTGTTCCGTGGGCTTGCGAATGATGAGGATGAGATAGTTATTTATGTTCTGTCCACTTTACGGGATAGGGTTCTTACTCTGGAGTCATTGGTACCTCCAGAGCTCCGGAGTGTTCTGTTTGGGAGCGTTACTCTGGATCAACTAATCTGCATTTCCNACTGTTAAGGTGGGTATTACAACAGAAGGAAATGTATTCAGGTGTGTTCCGTGGGCTTGCGAATGATGAGGATGAGATAGTTATTTATGTTCTGTCCACTTTACGGGATAGGGTTCTTACTCCGGAGTCATTGGTACCTCCAGGGCTCCGGAGTGTTCTGTTTGGGAGCATTACTCTGGATCAACTAATCTGCATTTCTGGTAGGGAAAACGGTGGAATTGCTGCAGAGATAGCACACAGTGTCCTGGTTATGGTTTGCACTGACTCTTCCAATGGGTTGATGCCGGATTTGAAGAGACACCCTGATCCTTTAAGAGGCAATCCAAAGCGACTTTTGGGTCTCATGAAGAGGCTAAAATCAACAGAGGTTGACTACCATAGAGACCTGCTTTTGGATATTGTAAGTGGAAGACCATCTTTAGGTTCGGCATACCTGGACGAGTCCCTTGNACAGTGTCCTGGTTATGGTTTGCACTGACTCTTCCAATGGGTTGATGCCGGATTTGAAGAGACACCCTGATCCTTTAAGAGGCAATCCAAAGCGACTTTTGGGTCTCATGAAGAAGCTAAAATCAACAGAGGTTGATTACCATAGAGACCTGCTTTTGGATATTGCAAGTGGAAGACCATCTTTAGGTTCAGCATACCTGGACGAGTTCCCTTACAACCTGGAAGATCTTGCCTCACCCTCCTGGTTAGATTTTTTTAGACATTGTCTGAATTCTTTCCTTTTGTTTGTTCATAGTTTATGCAGTGACTGAAGTAGTTGCAGGTTTACTGCTGTTTTTCTAGCTGCAAAATTGGTTTCCTCAGTGGGCAACTGCATTCCTTTTTGTTTTCTTGATTCTCATTCTCAGGAGCCACCTTCCTTTAGCCNCCTGGTTAGATTTTTTTAGACATTGTCTGAATTCATTCCTTTTGTTTGTTCATAGTTTATGCAGTGACTGAAGTAGTTGCAGGTTTGCTGCTGTTTCTCTGGCTGCAAAATTGGTTTCCTCAGTGGGCAACTGCATTCCTTTTTGTTTTCTTGATTCTCATTCTCAGGAGCCACCTTCCTTTAGCANCGTCCTCAAAGTGCTCTGAGCTTCTACAAGCGTGGAAGGTTCGACAGGGCAAACCCGGATTATCATACATATTGTCACTAATTCCACCATCTTATGTCATCCAGATGGAAAATACAGTCACGATGATCTGAAAGGCGTTGGTATGAGTAGGGATTTGGATAAATTTACTCGTTTGATAGTTGAAGAAAACTTGGGAGATCTTTATAAGGAACTGAATAGTAAAGAAGCAAAGCGCCAGAATGCTGTGCTTTCTTTATTGGCGTCTGTTGTTAGACGTGGGTCAGGATTGGCCTCAGATGTCGCTAAGAATTTTGATTTTAAGTTTACTATTTTTCCTAAGCTCGCGGAGTGTAAACATAAGCGAACAGAGGTGAAAAGGAAGCATTCTACGAGAAAATCATTTGTCAGGTTTGCAATGTCCTTTTTGGAAGTGGGGAAACCTGGACTGTTAAGGTGGGTATTACAACAGAAGGAAATGTATTCAGGTGTGTTCCGTGGGCTTGCGAATGATGAGGATGAGATAGTTATTTATGTTCTGTCCACTTTACGGGATAGGGTTCTTACTCCGGAGTCATTGGTACCTCCAGAGCTCCGGAGTGTTCTGTTTGGGAGCGTTACTCTGGATCAACTAATCTGCATTTCTGGTAGGGAAAACGGTGGAATTGCTGCAGAGATAGCACACAGTGTCCTGGTTATGGTTTGCACTGACTCTTCCAATGGGTTGATGCCGGATTTGAAGAGACACCCTGATCCTTTAAGAGGCAATCCAAAGCGACTTTTGGGTCTCATGAAGAGGCTAAAATCAACAGAGGTTGACTACCATAGAGACCTGCTTTTGGATATTGTAAGTGGAAGACCATCTTTAGGTTCGGCATACCTGGACGAGTCCCTTGCAACCTGGAAGATCTTGCCTCACCCTCCTGGTTAGATTTTTTTAGACATTGTCTGAATTCTTTCCTTTTGTTTGTTCATAGTTTATGCAGTGACTGAAGTAGTTGCAGGTTTGCTGCTGTTTTTCTAGCTGCAAAATTGGTTTCCTCAGTGGGCAACTGCATTCCTTTTTGTTTTCTTGATTCTCATTCTCAGGAGCCACCTTCCTTTAGCCGTCCAGATGTGCAGAATATTATCAAATGCATAGGTCCTCGTCCATTCACCCGATTGATAATAAATAAAGGGTTATTGCACTCTGATTCCCTTGTCAAACATGCAACCTTAAGGTTCGTTTTGGAGGTGCTGAAGTTGTTGGACTCTTTCATGGGCGCTCTAAACAATGGTTCTTATTACAGCAATCAAATGATTCAGAGGTTGATATCTCTAAAGCAAGATATTGAGAATGAAGCCTGGATTTTGCTCCCAGATCCTCAAGTTCTGTTATCATTAGTTGCTTCTCTGAATGCCCATTACAAGAGTAGTGGTTTGTGTTTGAAGAGAGCAGCAGACTCAGATATTATGCTTGAGCATAACATAAATGGCGTTAAGAAATTGAAAAAATGTAGTGTATATGACGAGACAGATATTCTTGTTAGTGGCATCNTTGAAGAGAGCAGCAGACTCAGATATTATGCTTGAGCATAACATAAATGGCTTTAAGAAATTGAAAAAATGTAGTGTATATGACGAGACAGATATTCTTGTTAGTGGCATTAGTTCTTCCTCTGACGTCGGTTTGCCTGAGGACGGTGCAGGAGTTCTGGATACATATAATGGGGATAAATTTGAAAATGGAGATGATCATACAAAGGTTATTGCTGAAATATGGGATTTGCAGCAATCCTCCATGCCTACCATGGCACTAGAGGACGAAGAAACATACTTCTACTCGAAGTTGCTTGACACTCTCAAAATTTATCGAGTAAGTTCCAATTTTCTGAGTAATTTCTGCATGACATATTTTAGAATCAATCTGAGTGAAAAACAAGGTTTCTTGAGGTACTTACTGGGGTCAGCCAAATTCTTTTATTTTTAGATGTTGTAAGGTAAACATTTTGTGAAGTGCTTGTGTGTTTGACACCATTAAAGATGGTGTATGCTCATCAATTAAAACTATTGTAGACTACAGGGAAAGACAATTTGATCAGTAATCAGAACTATGTGAATGGGAGAAATGGAAATTCTTTTCATGATGTGCAACCCTCTTTGGTACATCTTTTAACAATCTCTTTATATTCTTGTGCAATGATTATGCCATCTAATTGTACTTCAATTAGCCATCTTGAGTTAAAGATTTTATTTAACTTGTGTATTAATTATATGAAATATTGCAACAATGTTGAATATCAAATTCTTCAAAGCACATACATATGACACCTTTTATAACCGGTCGCTTTTCAGTTCAAAATGGATCATCTGTTTCATTTTTCTTTATTCATACATATCTATTTGGGCAGGGATTTTTGTGTGGATTTTAGAAAAATTATTTTGTTACCAATTGAAAAATTTTCTTCATACATACTGTTATACAGACATTCGTCATGGAAAACTATGATTTGTTTAATCAAAGATGAACCCAAGCTAATGTCAGTTAATAAGCTTGATTGTAAGGCTTCTCTGAAGTTATGTTAGCATGTCAGAGTTGTACTTCTTTTTGGAGCTTGATTGTATGGTCTATCTCAGCTCATATTAGTCATTGCATCAAAATTGCATGTTTTTTTGTTGTCTCATACGTCCAGTTACTTCTGTGATAAATACCTTGGTGGCTTTGAACCCTACTACTATCTGAACACTTCTATAGGATAGTATTGGGATGCAAGGCTCATATTGTGTACTGCCATACCAAGTATTTGCCCCCCATTTTGTATGTTTGATTTTCTGCACATTCATTTGGTTTCAAGAAGCTCCTGAGCAGTTCTTTCTTTTCTCATTATGCTCAGCAAATCTGGCCGGAAATCGCTTGACTTCCTGTGCAATTAGTCCTTCAGTTTGCTGCTCACTGACAACTAAGTTATTGACTGCAATTGTTACTTCTAACATGTTGTTCTTGTGCTGTGATTGGAATCGTTTACTATAATCCTAGAATATCAAACAGACTTCTTGATTACTTGTAGTATCGTATAACTCTGGTGCATATCACAGTTTTCCTAAAAGATGGATTTTCATGATTCTCTCGGAATAGACATGCTAAATTGAATTGTCTTGCCTGCCTTTTTTTTGTGCCTTCATTTGTTTGTTTTCCTTTTTTTTTTTTGGGGTGGGGGGCAGTTTTTTCCAACTTACTTTGGCGGAGGTCAAGCTCTCATCTGCCTTCAACAAATCTGTCTATTATATTGATTGTTCGCTTGTTTCTGTTGTTTTCTCTTGCAGCGGACTATGCCTGGGTTTTTAGGGGGGTCATTTGATTTCTTCAAAGTTCTCCCTAGTAAACCTTTGGCATTACCAACTATTCTGCAGCAATCTTTATTATCGCTACTCTTAGAAGATATTGGATGGTCTTCCAAGTGTGAAGTCCCTGCCCGAATGCAGCCACTAATGTACAAGCATCTTCATACGTTTATAAACATACTGATTTATTCATCTGTCAAAGACATAAAGGATCAAGCATACATTCTGGCACAGGCAGCCATGTTAAGTACTGGTGCATTTGATAAAAACCTGTGGGAAATTGGTGCATGGTTCTTATTTCTACCTGGCTACACTGGGGACAATTTTTTTGTTTCAGAGCAGGAGGTTGAAATCTTGCCAATTTTTTCTTCAGTTATTTCCTTTTTAGGTGATGCCGTTTCCACAATTGGAAATAATTTATTCAAATATTGGGATCTTTTAAGGCATCGTATCTACCAGTTAAAAGGTGTTAAAGGTAATTCTTATTTTCATATAATTCTTTTGGTCGCATTCAGAGTTTTGGCTATTTTTGGCTTTTTTTTGCCATTTTAACTGGACTTAAATTGCTGCTTGTGAGTTGGGATGACATAGGGGATTGAGGGTGGAGTGGGATGGAATGAGGAGGAGGAGAATAAAATAAAGATGTAGGCAATACACACCAGCAAAGCTTTGTTGAAAAGGTGCCTAATTCCCTCTCCCCATCAATATTTGGTCATATTCCCTTATGAGAGATCAATTGAGTTGCTAGCTCTAATGGCGAAACTGGAGGAAGATACTAGGTAGTGCCAACAGTGGTCGTAATGAAGGGGATTGTGGTGTTCGGTGGAGATGTGGTTGTTATTCATTAGACTATGATGCCCTCTTTATAGTTTTTAATTGTTTTCATAATTTCATTTTGATTACATTATTTGAAAGCTAAAAGTGAAACAGAACAATTTCTTGTCAATACTTTCTACTAGGCTTTGAGCCTTCGGACAACACAGATGAGTGTATTTCAGGATTAGGAGTGATCTGTTCAACTTCACAAAACTTCAAGATGGTGGATCCTTTTCTTTTTAATAAAAAACTGAAATGGTCCTCCAAACGTATCATTGATTTTTTTTTTTAATAAGATATTAATAGTTCTTACTGATAACTACAATCATATATCTTTCATTTTTTTTTGGGTTGAATTAAATTGTTTACAGGTCTTAATTTTTGTCTAACTTTTCCTTTTAATCTTGAGTAAAAATGTTATTATTAACTTTACATATGTACTATGGGTAGTTTGCATAGTCAGTTGAGTTAATTTATGCATTTTTGTTGGCCTAAGTTTATACCAGGTATTTTTTCTTTATATTTTGGGTCAGAGATGATGGCTTCCCGTGATCAACTTATTGAAATTAAGCATTCTTTAGCCAGATGAAAAGAAAAAATTGTTTGAAAAATTAGGCAAATAAAATTTGTTTTTGCTCATCAACTGTTCTAAAAGTTGAATGTAGATATTGCTTTTATTCTTAATGCAAGTAACTTGTTTCTGTCAGACGTATCTCCTGATTTCAGCCCCCTCGTTATTTGTATCTTGGAAAAGTGCCTAAGGTTGCTCAGTTCAGGATCTGGAACCTTCACTTTACCCGAGAAATCAATGATATCATTATATGTATGCAACACGTTAAGATATCTCTTGCAAACTCAGATAATTAACATGTGCCCTGCCGGTTATGGTATGCTTTTAGTACATCTATAATATAAGTAGATTATATGCTATGAATGCAAGACATCATTAAAACCTGAAATTTGATAGGTTGAAGTTGGATTGCTATCTTCTCTGATAAGTCTATTATTATCTGAGAGACTTGAGGACCGTTGCTCTGTAGTTGATGCTTCTGGTGACCTTTGTGAGTGGGAACCATTGAAGAATTTATTGCTGTTCTCGGAGAGTGTAGCAAAACGACAATCTTGTAGCATTTCTTCAACTGATAGGAAATTGGTGGGAGCTGACAATTCTTTTATCCATTCCCTTTGTGAAGTTAAGAGAGTTTTAAGGAGTGGGGATGGTGAACGCCAAGGATTGACTGAAATATCAACAGCATTTTTGTTTTCAATGCTATGCACAACACCTATAGAGATAATAGATAACTTCTCATCTGTTATATCTATTTCACAGCACTTACTTGGAGTTCCTTTTTCGCTATTTCTCTGTGTGTTTTACCATGAAGAAAGTCTTCTTAATGGTATCTTCAAGTCATGGCCTGAGGTGTTTTTTGGTGCTGTGGAAGGGACTTTAAATATGATCCATTNAGCATATTGGTGAGCACATGGCAAGTGATTGTCAAGAAATTTCCTTCAAACTCCGACGACTCCAGTGATGTAGGGGACACAAAATCTTCCTTGTTCAGATTTTTGAAAGTCTTTCTGTTGAGAAATATTCTGGAATTAACGGCGAATATGCGTGACTGTCTTGTGAAATTGCATTCTCTCCCCTGCATAGAACAACTTGCACGGTCTACTTTTCTTTACAGATTTGAGGACCATGCAACACTGGAGGTTCTCCGAAGTGTACTGGCGTTGCTATCTGAAGGGAAATTCTCTCTTTCTGTAGTTCTTCAGCTGCTTCTTGCCCACTCTCAGTTTGCACCTACTATTTCTTCTGCCTTGAAATCATCCGGTTTTTCTCAAAGTGGTGTGATTTTTAGGCCTATGTCCAGCTTTCTAAGAGCACTTATTCTTCCTGATACTGAGCAAAATGACCATGATGGAAAGAATCTTCTGCAAAGATCTGAGCTGTATAGGAAACAGTTGGAACTTGTGAAGTTGCTTAGGATACTCTTTCGGTTCAAAGCTCGGCAGTGTGGTTTTGATTCTGAAAAGGAAATCGGAATAAATTCTAGGGAATTGCTTTTCTTGCTTTTGTCATCGTATAGTGCGACTCTTGGTGAGCTTGACTTGGAAATATACAATCTTATGCATGAAATTGAGATTGCTGATGAATCAAACTCTGGTAGTATTGATGAAATGGATTTCCTTTGGGGAAGTGCTGCTATAAACATTAGAAAGGAACGGGAAAAAGAGCAAGATATGTCTTGTGATAAAATTAATGATATTGAAGCAGCCAAAGAATGCCGAAGAAGTCAATTTAGAGAAAATCTTCCCATTAACCCGAAATTGTGTGCATATACAGTGCTTTGTTTTCCTTATTATAGAACCGTTGGTGAGGGAATTTTATCCTCGAACAAGCTTCACCAAGATAATTCTGAGCACATGGTTGAGGTACAAACTACTGTATAACTGTTCAGCTACTGTTTTTATTGGGCGTTTATTACGATTTATGTCCCAAGCTGGATTCTTTAGTACTAAATTCAAATTATTCTATGCAGGCACGTTCTGCTACTGCAAGTTCTGCAAATGTTGAGAAGATACAAATATATGATCCTGTTTTCATCTTGCGCTTGTCGATTCATAGTCTGTCAATGGGTTACATTGACCCGATGGAGTTTGCTAGTTTAGGATTGCTAGCTGTTGCATTGGTTAGCATATCTTCACCTGATGACGAGATGAGGAAAATGGGTTATGAGGCTGTTGGAAGATTTAAGACTGCGCTAGAGGTAATGATTCCTTTCATCATGATTGGCATTTGTGGGGCACATTAAAATGGTGTAACAAGTTTGCTGTCTATTTTTAAGAGCTTATCGTGTGTTTAATGCTAGTAAGTAAAATGGGAGTTCTGCATTAGGTTTGGTGTGAGAGTAAAACACTTGTAGTGAAGTGGGTCAAAGTTTTGGAATTTGGTGGACTAATCTATACAGATACACACACACACATGTAGTGCAGATTGCAGTATGTCTGAAAATTTTCTGTTGAACAATGCACAAGGAACAAAGCTTAAACTTAAATTTGTCCTACGAAAAGGCCATCATCCAGTTTAATTCCCTTTGCCGAGGGTGCTGGGATTTGTGGATTGTTTATGTTCCTAATCTTTGGCATTATATGCAGAAAGAGGCTTAACTCATCTATAGGAGAAAACTTAAAAAGAGATTTGACTTAGGTGGTTTGGACACACTATAGATGGCCTGCTACAGGACCGTTGAGAAAGTGTGATATGATAGTTAGAGCACAATGATGAAACATGATTAGTGTAGCTGACCTAAAAATAATTGGGAAAAGACTTTGTTGAGTTGAGTATTTGTAGAAACAGGCTGCCCAAATCTATGATACAGAAGGCCTAAATTGATTTATTTAGGTGCAACAAGATGATTTATTAGTTTGTATAAAGGTTGTTTGTTGTTTGCAAGCAACTTACTAAATTTTCAGATAACTGAATTTGAAGCATGTTACTTTTGTTACAGAAGTGGCAAAAGAGGAAGGATGTAATTCGACTTCGGCTTTTGTTGACATATTTGCAAAATGGTATTGAAGAGCCATGGCAGAGGATTCCTTCCATAATTGCTATATTTGTTGCAGAGGCTTCTCTGATTTTGTTGGATCCTTCGCATGAACATTATTCATCCATAAGTAAACTTCTGATGTGCTCACCGAAGTCAAATATGAAGGTGTGTAATCCCTCATTACAATTTCGTTAGTATGTGCTTTATATTATAAACATCTGTAATAAAGTTGTAAATAATTAACCAATCTGGTAAATGTTTGTTAATATTGCTGTCATATCAGTCAAAACCTTAGTATTATCACTGATTCTATGAGCTTCAATAGGTTCTTATATACTCTTGTGAATTGACTTGCAGTCTATACCATTATTCCAAGATTTTTTCTGGAGTAGCTCTGTTAATTTCAAAACGGACAGGTTGTGGATGTTTCGTCTCTTATACGTTGGGCTGAATTCAGATGATGATGCTCAAATTTTTATAAGGAACTCCATTCTTGAGGTTGCCTTGAGTTTCTATGCTTCGCCTCTTTCAGATAATGAGTCAAAGGAATTGATTCTTCAGGTGTTATATAGGCTATCCTTTGTGCTTCTTCTGGTAAGGTTTTTGAGGCTTAAATTAAACACTTGGACTAAATTACATTATATATATAGATGCACATATTTCTTTCTTTCTTTTTGGTTTTTTTTTTTTTTTGGGGGGGAGACCCAAATTAAGCTATATTATAAATTTGTTGTTCTCTAATGTTGCTGTTACTGATGTTGATTATGGATAGAACTGGTTTTTGGTTTGATAATGTGGTTTTGCTTGGTTGGTTGTTGGGAAAGTTGGACACTTTATTCTCACTTTTCATTTTTGATTACCTTCCGATATTTTTCATTTTTTATTTTGTTTTCATTTCTTTTGTTTTTTGTTATAAGAGGACGTGCCTTGGGAGTTGGGACAAAGGTAAAGTTGCTTCATTGTGATGTGAGCATCATGGCTTTCATCATGAAAACAATCTCCCCGCGTGTAAGGATAAGGTTGCATACATCAGACCATGCATCGACAAGGCCATTTATTAAAGTTTTTTGTTTGTACTTTTCTTTGGTCATGGTTTGCATAATCAAATCATATATTATCATGTTTCTTAAACAACTTCTGGTGAGTAGCAGTGCAATAGATGAAGTTTAATCTAGGAATGTTTGGAAGAACTGAAAAGTGTTCTCTTACATTTGTGTTGTTTTCTGGAGAATATAGTGGTCATCTCCTTCATTAGTACTTCTCTGGTATTTTTCATCCCATTGTTTGAATGAAACAATTTTAGTTTGGCATGTTCTTTTTTCCAAGATTTTAAGGTCCTGATATTGTTCTTGATTCTTGAAACTGTTGATGGTCTAGTTTATTTTTTCTAGTGAAAGACGAACTCTTTTTTTGTTTGGTTTTTTGATAGTATGAAAAGCTCATGTCTCCATTGACTTTGGTTTCGTAAGGAGAAGTTTTATTATTCTTTGGTATGTGGCAGCCTTGATTTGTGGTTGTTTGTTCATCGAAGTTCAAACTTGGAATTTATTGTTGTGCTTGACTCTCTTGTGTATGCCACAATCAGCTCCTTAAATATGTTCTTTAAGATGATTTGGTCTCGGTATGAATTTGAGCATGAGAATGTCTTCACTAATTATACCTTTTGGTAAGGATGAGGATAATTGTCAGAAGTTTGAATTGCATTCTTTTTTATAAGGATGATCCTTAGTGCTTAACCACTTGCTCTTTTTATGTGACTGAAACGAGTTATATGTTTTGTCCTGCAGGTGGTGAAGAAGTCTATTAAGCTACATAAGCTGTCTCGCTATTTAGTTGAGCAGTGTGGTCTAATTTCATGGTTATCATCTGTTGTTTTATTCCTTTGTGAGAAGCTGTACCAAGATCAGAGGATGTACTCTTTGACTCAGTTAACCATGCTGCTGGAGGTAATTTATTTTCTTACTTAGGAATAACCTTTGTTGTTGTTTTGTAAAATGTCGGTGCATTTCTTTACATCTGTGTGGCTCCCTCCTGACCTCATCCTCTCACCTTTCCGCCTCTTCTATGATGTTCGGGTGGGGATTTGTACTCCTTGATCAGCAAACAGTATGACTGAATATTTCCACCGTGGGGCATCTTGCTGAATTGCGGTGGGTCGGAATATTGCTGGAAAATTGGGAAATAAGTTTCTTTACATTAAGAACATGAGATAAGTTTGGAAGATGGAGACTTAAAAGAAAATGCTAGTTTGACTCAAGACTGTGGCTCAGTTTTTGGTTTCTGCACAAGCACTCAAATGACATGGACTCATGTATGTTGTATTAGATGAGTATGGTTGCTGCTAATGTGGTGCAGGACAAGATGGAGAACAGACTGCTCCAAAAAAAGAGAACATAATTCAGGATGAAGTCAATAAAAAACAATTACAACCAAAAGAGCAAAAAGGATTATAACACTTCCAACGCAATCTATTATCTCATTCAATAATCAAGTCTTCTCTAACCCATAAGAGCCTAAATAACCGATACCAAAAATCAGAAAATAATAGTCTTTAAATCCTAAATTATTCAACAAATACTTGCCGAAAAAAATAAATTATTAAATAAATTCAGTGATAACTGTGACTTATAAAATAATGCCAGAACAATTTCCTAAAAACCCTAATCTTGAATTTAAGTTTCAGTTAGTTCTTTTCAGATCCACATTATGATCACTGTCAAAAGTCATCATATGACTGTCTTCTATAAGATGTGCAAACCATTTAAGTGGATTATTTCTTAATTATCTCCTATTGGTGATATCTCTAGTTGTACTATGTATCTATCTTAACATTTGCATTTCAACCACATTGAGTTTCTAAGTATGTTGTTTCTTAGTTGCCGTCGAAATTACATTTCAGCCCAAGGGATATATGTCACTCGCCTAATACACTAGATGCACTTCTATACTTAACCTATTATGGGCAATTGACCCCAAATACAGAAAGTTTTTCTTTTTGGTATAGCTTAATCTTCTATCTTTGCTATCTCCCCATTTCAATATTTATATTTTTATGAATGTTACGTTTCATATATTGAGGATTGGTTCTACCTATTTTGAATCATCTTGATGCCAAAGTTTATCTCTAATTTTTAAATTTATTGCGAGTTCCTAGTTTGGTTTCATTAATCACTACTAGATCATCAACAAATAAAATACGCCTTGGAAACGGGACTACCATGGCCCCATGTTTTGATTGGACAATCATAATTATGTTAAGATAGTGTTGCGACACAAAGAAACTTTTTTTTTTTTTTGGTCTGCAATTTCTTGATTGGACACCAAAACTGGTTATTCTGTCATGCTTTATAATTAGTGAATGTGATATAAAAGAAAGAAATTTCTATTTTTGTTATGTTATTTTGTTCCAATCTGCATTATGCGCGGGATCTTCAACTAATATATTTAAATTGAGCTTTGCATTCTGCCAAAAAGTAGAAAAATTATGAAAAAAAACCTTTATTAGTTCTAAGCTCTAGTTGCACATGCTGTGTTCCTTTAGTCATTCTAGGAACTATACCTTTACAGGGACAAAATTATTGGAGAGCCTTGCATTAGAATTAAGATAAACTGTGTTTTTAAAGGATTTAGCCACTATTTTTGTTTAATTTTTTTTTTTAGATCTCTATGTTGCTGGACAAATAGATGTTGATTGCTGACATATTGTTCTCCTAACTTGTGTCGTTGTTGTGATTTAGGTAGTCAATGATGTTATATCTTCTAGAAATGGTGATGAGTGGTTTCAAACATTTGCCCTTGAGCAGCTCGCTGAACTTTCATCTCATCTATACAAAATTTTAGTTGGCGACATCAAGGTGATAAAAGACAATGTTCCCGTAATTATGGTGATAAACGGGGCGAGTTTGGATGAATACCAATTTTTTTTCTGGTCCACTTCCATCTCTACTCTCTTGGTAGTCGCTCGTTGCCTTCTCTCACTCCGTCTACTCTTCGTCAAAAAGACGTAGCTGACCAGGTAACGTCTACTCTTTCTCTTCTTCTCCTACTTTAATTTGCTTGCCGACCAAGTAATGCTATCATTTGCATTTAATTTGGCTGCTTGCTATAGAAATACTGGTTTTGCTTGTACCATTTGAACATTTTAGGTATGGTGAATTCTGCTTTGGATTTTTTAGCAATCTGAAGTCTGGGTTTTTGGGATTTTGTGGGTATTCTTAGTTTTGTTATAATTATGATTTTTTCCATTGTTGTTTGATTAGGTGCAGTTTGTTATTAAATATTTTTTATGCAATTATTATAGTTTTTAATGTTTTATTTTTTTGATTAAATTATTAGTGTGAAGTTAGATGTAATTTTTTTTAAATGAAACTAATTATGTTGGATATTGTTGTAGACAAGTTTTTAATTATATTATGATATTATATAATTACGTTGGATTATGTTGGGCTTGGGCTTGGGCTTGGGCGTGGGTGGGGGCAGGTGGTGGGGGTGAACGTGGGTGGCGAGGCGAGGGGCAAGGATGGATATGAAAACTAGCCTTGTTAGCAGCAATGGACTGAGGATGAATGTACTTTTTATAATAAGCAGTATGGGGTGGAGATTACTCCCCCTGCCCTAGCCCACTGCCACATCTACTCTCGTCTGATCAATCGTCCTCCTCAGGGGAAGTTGACACTCCTCATAAAACTAATGAACCTAGCTCGGGTGTTTGAGGAAGTTGTCAATGAAGATGAGAAAAAAATTGGGTGCTGAGAAGCCAATGAGCTTGTTTTTGAAAAGGAATTTTTACAATGCCAAACTAATAAAATGATGACGTTTTGTTTAACATGATTTTGTTTTTCTGTAACAACTAACAACAGAGGAGCTGCTTCCCGTGTCGTTTATTTGCATTGTCATGTTGATCGATGTGAAAATCTATTCTATTTGCATTCCTTTGATCGTTGTTGGGTAGAAATTAAAGCATGATGATGTATTTATGTAGATGAATCACTCAATATGTTTCTTTTAGAAAAAAATTATTTGAACCTAATTTATTAATTTTAAGGTTAATAACACTTTTAGTCCTTAAAATATATATTTTTTGTGAGTTTAGTCCTCAATAGATCAATTTGGTCTCTAAAGTATTTAATTCGTATTATTTTGGTCCCCACATAGACGGATTATTAAGTTTTTGACAGAATGATCATGTGTTAGGCATGTGATGTCGTATAAAAAAATGACACGTGCCCACTTCCGTAAAAAAACTTAAAACTGTCCGTTTATGTAGGGACCAAAATGACACAAATTGAATACTTTGGGGACTAAATTGACAAAATTAATACANAACTTAAAACTGTCCGTTTATGTAGGGACCAAAATGACACAAATTGAATACTTTGGGGACTAAATTGACAAAATTAATACGTTAATGACTAAACTGACAAAAAATACATAATTTAAGGACTAAAAATACTATTAATCCTTAATTTTGTTTATTGATCTAATACATTCTACCTGATCAAAAAATCTAATACATTCTAGTTATTGAATTAATAGTAGGTCCCAATTAATATTGGGGTTCACTATCAATTCAACGATATAAAAATGATAAAATCAAAAAATTATATTCAAGTAGAATTATTTTTTTTAATGCTAAAGATCGCCTCCTTTCCTAAGATTCTTAGGCATAGAAAATCTTAGAGTCACAATAATCTTAAGATGCACCCCACTCTTGCTTTAATATTTTCTAAGTATAAAAGCCTATACAGTAATATTAGGGATCGCCCCTATGCATCATCCCTTTAAAAAACATAGCTTTGATAACGATAGGATTTTGGAGTGGGCTGCCTATCCTAAACCCAAATCATTTAATGGGCCAAAAAGGGTGCACAACCACCCTAGAGACCCCTCAACAACCCATATGCTATGTAATAAGGAATGAGCCATAATCCAAATGAGGGGCCCAACAGAGAGTCCATCTCAGCACAACCCTACTTGGTTATAACAAGCTCAACGTTAAGTAGCCGGGGATCAAGGAGCTCGGTACTCACCAAACCCCAAATGTCCCACATCATGCCATGTGCCCGGGGGACCAGGGACAACTTTTGGAGCCTCTAACAAACATGTACTCTCCAATAAAGAGAATAGTTGTGCACGTAATCGCTCAAGGATCATGGATACAGTAACGTCACATGACAGAGGTCACTAAAGGACAAAGGAAGAGGGGACCACAGAATCAGCAAAAAAGAAGAGAAAGTTGCAAGAAGCCCTACAAAAATTACCTGTATAAATAGAACACTATCACACTACAAAAGGACACTGACAACGTCTTCATTGATATACTTACAATGAATTCATAGAACATTGTATAAATAGGCTTTAAGCCCAACAATCCATTGTAATTTTCTTCTTCAAGAAATGTACACATCCCCTAGGAGCAAGAGACTTTATTACAGTGGACGTAGTCTTAGTCTCTCAGCTAAGGTGAACCATTTATAATCCACTGTCACTTCATATATTCGTTCTAGGGAGTTATTTAGGTTGGCAGTTACAGCGTGAGATTCTCTCAGCTACGTTGTTAGCATTGCCTTGTCGGTTTTAAAGGAGATCAGCTCGTCTGCTTGGACGTCAAAATCTTGCTACAAAGAAGCCAATTCTTCTGACTGGGAGCTTAGCTGTTCCAACTCGTCTCGAAAGTGGCAGTGGTGATCAACTGCCAAAAAACTCGAGTTCTTTGATCAAGAGTAGCTTTCATCTCGAATTCTGCAGCTAAACCCCAGCTTAGGAGCTCGACATTCAGTTCTCAGGCCTCTTGGAGTTCAGCACTCCTCCGATGAGCTTCCTCCCTTAGATGATGGACCTCCCTTTTAAGGGCATAGACGTGCGTCACCACCTGAGGCCAAAGAAGGAAATTTAAACATTACAAAAGTTGAAACAAGGAAAAATCAAAGGAAAGGACAAACCTTACCTCTAGAAGTGCGTGAAGGGCATCTCGGCTCCTAGCTCAGAAAGGTACACTGACCGAACGACAAAGGCCTACTCGGGGAATCAATTCTATTAGTGCACAACTGTTGAAAGTCACGTCGTCCAATAGGCTCCCCCTCAAAGTTGACAATTGGACCCGAAGCAACATGACTAGAGCTGGGACCTGCAACTCTAGCTGAGGAAGAACCACACTGAATTGGCCTTCCTACTAGATTGCATGCAATTGTGCCTACCGTTGCTTCTCCAGCGCTATATTGGCATAAACACAAGTTGAAAAACCGACACTTCAACAACACTTGGTACTACTTCAGGCGTAGAAAGGAAGCTCGGTGTTGGTAAGGCCATTGATGCCTCGGTGACAATATTTGGAACCTCGGACTTGGCACATGAACTCGAGGCTGGGATTGAGCTGCCCTTTGCTAGTCTAGCCCTCTTCACCTAAGATCTTGGGCCCCGAGCTCGCTTCCTCTGGCCCACTTGTTCCATGATCACATCCCTTTGGCTGGTCAGGTACGTAGGGACTGAACAAGAAAGGCAGTTAGGAAGTAAGCTCGGTTGAACACATTAAAAATCGAATGGGAAGGAAAGAATAGCAAATACTCACGATTGATCAGGACTGAAGCAAGTTTGGGATGCATTAGCTCAGTATAAGAAAAGGGTAAACGAGCTCGAACGTGGTTAACCTGAGCTTGGGTCTCGCCAGTCAAGATCGGGTACTCACCTACAATACAAAAGAATAGAGCCATACACCAAGTTAGACACTGACAAGCATGGTAAGACTAGATTAATAAAGGGGAAACTCACCAAGGTGACCATGTCTCCCCCAAACTGTGGGAATTCTGACTGGCGACATCGTCTGAGCTCAAACTCCCAACCTGTCCCAGATATGAAAAAGTACCTCCTCCTCCACCCTTTCGGCTCAGGAGGGAGGTCAGTAATCGAGATCTCTCCACCTCGTCTCGGAGCAAAATAATAAAATTCAAACAGCTCCATTGGACGAAAGAAGTTGAGAAACTCCACAAGAGTGGCTCGGGGATGAGTAAACATTCGCTCCCACAACACAAGGAATGCCAACAAAATAGCCCACCCAGCTGGAAGTAACATGGTAGGGCAAAAGTCGAAGAACTGCAACACTTCCCTTGAAAATGGAGGAATAGGGAACCGTAGCCCCAGCTAAAAAGGGACTTCAAAAAAGCAGACCCAACCTCTCATGGAAAGATGATACAAGCTGCGTTCTACAACACAAATGATTACCCTGTTGGGAAAGGCATAGCGATTAGCACACCTGAACCTCCTCACTACTGATTTCACTACTTTCGGCGTGGGGTAGATCATTTGCTGGTGTCAAGGTAAGTNGAAGGATCTTGCTTTTGAACGTACCGTTGCAGAGAAGATGGATGAAATCCATGCCTGTCAAACTCTTCTGGTGGTAATTTCGAATGTGCTCGGAAAGAAATCTTTAGATTCACTAGTTCTATCTCATGTAGATGTGGAAAATACTGGGGTGTTCAAATGGGAAAGAAGTTTGCTTGAAACTTGAATGATCTCTTTGGTTAATTCAATCCGTCTTTATTTCAATCTATTGGTCTTCCCATTAGTTTGATTTATGTATGTTTCTTAACGTTTTTTTTTCCTTGAAACGGATTTGGTTCATCTTGCAAAGGAGTAAAGGGGGACAGATTTTGTATGCATCGTTTCCGGACTTGAAAACCATTGCAAAAAGGGCCGTTGTTTATCAGCGTCATGAAGCATAGGGGAACTACTGGTTGATAATTGGGTAAATTGGCTATGCAGATGTATATATATACTATGTTGCTTCTTTCTGCCATTCTTCAACTAGATTTATAATTTGACAGAAGAAAACAATCATATTCTTCTTGAAATTATGCACCACCTCTCCTCCTTAGGCCCGAGCTTGGTTTGTTTATAAAAATTTTACTTGGTGGAAAAATAAGTACAAAAAAAAAAAAAACACTCTTAGATTTGTGTTAAAGATATTTAAAGTTTCATTGGTCATGTGTGTTTCGGACTTGCTCTGAGTCTATCAGGGCTTTGAACTTAAATTTCAGCTCACACAGTGTGAAACATAAGTTAAATTGAATCAAACTTGAGGATATGGCCAGAAATGAAGCCGAGTTTGAGTAAGAAATCTAAATTGACAGTTGATGTAAAGCCTAAGAGGCTAAGACAGTTCGCTCGTGCTTAGCCCGGAGCATACTAAAGATCAAAAAGCTCGGCTGGACTCAAACACGATTCGATTAGATTGACATCTCTAGCTTGCATGTTGGGTTAACATAGTAAGACCAAAAAAGAGCAAGTCTCAAAATCCCAATTGAAACTATGCCATATCGTACTTGGGATGTGCAATGGGAAAAGCTAATACAGAGGGAATGTTTGGCAACGGGACCTCTAAGCCCCACCATGTCCCTTCTGTGTTCCTGAATTTGTTATTTGTCTCGTAAATTTGGGTCATGACTGGTTAACCTGTAAATAAATAATCAAAATACATTATTGTCAACACCACACGGCACCACCGCCATAACCACCGTTGCAGCCGGCACCACTCCAAAAGTTCTTTTAGACCCTATGAGTTCCAGGAATTGTATTTCTTTGTAGCAAATGTTGTAGCATATGCAGTGAGTGCAGTAGCGTGGTGGGTCTTATGCAAAAACGAAAGGAAGACTGTCATCAAGAATATAGACCTTAAAAAATAATAATATTTATAATTGGAGCTTAAACTAAAATAAAACAAGTTTTTATATAATTGCCACGCATGAATTTTGTAGTCACACTACCGTACGAAACCAATGGATTTTCTGCGAAGTTTAAAATAAAACCGTGTAATTGTTAATTCAGTGGGTCATATGGCTGCACAGTTTTTTATGCACCAAATAGATGGAGTAACCTTGTTTCTATGTGGGTTCCCGGGAAAAAAAACCTTGTTATATATGATCTGTTATGGAGTCATCTGAAAAATCCTAGAAGGGACAATCGGCGCCGGAGAAGATGACGGAACAGACGAGGGTTTGAGACCAATTCAAAAGGGCATTTCTGCATGTGAACCGTACAGTATAGAATATATTGGACTTCAAGTTCGAGTTTTTTTTTTTTTTTGAACGATCAAGTTCTAGTTGGAACTTGCCTGGATCAAGTTCTAGTTGGAACATACCCGGGTTGACTTGAGAACCACTTATTTTGTCTTTTTTTGACTTTCTTCTTCCACCTGCCATCACCGCCGCCGCCACCAAACTGAATTTTAGTACACCACCATGGCACCACCAGCATCGGTACCACTGAATTATCCACCGCCGCCGCCACCACCTCCTGAATTGTAGTATACCATCATGACACCACCACCGCTGAGCTATTGTTTTTTGACCATTTTGTTACTGAGCCGCAGTTGGTGATCTAACTACATCAGGAAGATCAGCTAAGCAATCTCTATATATGAAGAGCTTTGAGGGTGGCAGAAAGTAGGAGGTTTTCAATTTTGTGACCCAAACACAATGATAACTGGCCTAGTTGCAAAACAGATATTCTATCAAACAAACACAACACACTTCGAAGTACACTAAATATTGATTACAATGTTTGGAACAGATCAGAAGAAGAGAGAACATTTTTGGAAGAGACTCAAGTACAACACCACCATCAATTCATATGTATAGTTGCTTTCATTCTCGTCATTGTGCATAAAAAAGGACACCGAACTGTAGTTTGTTGGCCTGCTTCTTCCACTGAATTTTCCAGCACCAGCACCACCCCCAACCTATTGTTTAAGGTCAAAAATTAACACAGAGAGGAGAAAACAAGTAAAACAGAAAGACTCCAAAGGCGATAGAACAAACAACACATAACCTCCTCTGATAAGTAGTACATATCGAAGTTCAGCCGATGTATATGGTCACACCAAAGAGCCGGATGCTATGGCGTTCAAGCTCCATGAAATACCCATCTCCATTCGTCCACCGATAGAATCGGAGTATGTCATCGGGCCCAAGTTCCTTCTTCTTTGTAAAATCAATCCACTGGTATGTCATCAAGCGCCGACCGTTGCTCCTTGTTGAACATTTAAACTCCCAGGTGGTGTCTCCATTTGGGTCCAGTACATGCATGATGGCATTTCCAGGAGGCAAGTCAAGAGCCCCATTTGGTATCTCCAGATTTCGTGAAATGTCATTTGGTGAGAGTTTCTTTTCAAAACAGAATGTATAGCCTGCCATTGTCCAAGTTCCAAACCTAAAACACAGCAAAACCAAATCATTCTTAGTATAATAGAGTAATACTACTAGATCCGCAAAACCGAGCACAAAAGATTTTGGAAAACGAAACATTAGAAACACTTGACAAGTGTGAAAGAGAGTTCAAGGAGAGGACCTTGTTCTCTGAGTATGTTGAGCTTGAGGAATGATGTGCTCTGTTGCCTTTTATAGAAAGCGAGGGAGACGGAAAAGATCACCGTTTTGTGAATATGAGGTCGATGAACCCTTTGGTTTTACTGCACCCTTTTAGGTGCAGAGTTCGGGTGTGTGTGTTCACATATTTATATGCTTTCTGTAGCTTTCAGCATTTAAAGTACCTGCATTTAAAGTGTAGAATTTTGTGAAGAGTTCGGGTTTGTTTGTTCAATTATTTTGGTTAAATAATTGACCAAAAAGTGCAGAATTTTGTTACACATTTTGTATGCCCATGTGAAAGATAAGAGGTTTATTGCATCGGAGGTCCTAATATTTTAATTATGTTGTTTTGATCTCTAATATTTTAATTATATTATTATTTTGGTCCTTGAAATATTGAATATGTTTTTATATGGTCTCTCAAGCAGACATCATCCAGATTACTAACGATTTTTTATTATAAACTTGTCACGTGATACTTAAATATAGATAAAATAATAATTTGAATAATTCTTGACTAAATTTTTACTCAAATTTTGGTTAAATAATTACCCAAATTACACAATTTTGATTATGTGTTATCCAAATTTTGGTCAAAAGCTACCCATATAACACATTTTTGTCAAGAGCTATCCAAATTTTGTTTAAGAGATATCAAAATTATTTTTTGTTCATATTTAAGTATTACGTGACAAGTTTATAATAAAAAATATTAGCAATCTAGATATTATCTGCTTGAAGAACCATATAGAAACATATTTAATATTTCAGGGACCAAAATAATATAATTGAAACATTAAAGATCAAAATAAGAAAAATCACATACTTTGAGAAATTAACCCAAAATAATGTTGAACTGACACAGCTGCATTGGAAAAAAGATGGTAGTCGTTAGAATCAAATTCTCAACCTTCATTTAAATTGTCCACCTTTAAATTATCCACCTTTATTTAAATTGTCCACCTTTAAATTATCCACCTTTATTTAAAGTGTCCACCTTCACCATTCCACCTTCACCTTTCCTGCTTGTTGATCAAAGCAAGCAATATGTTCTCCCCGTATATTAGTGAAGGCACACCACAGAATAATAAATTCTTTTTAGGAGAAATAACACGAATCATTGGTGCACTAGATGACCAATCAATAAGATATACATATTGGGTCTTGATAGAGTTTTTATGGGTAATAAAAAATGAGAATTCTTCTAAGTCTGTCTTGTTTAAACTAGAGATAGATTATACGTATTGGACGATAAACATATACGAAAATATTGATTTTGCTTATACCATTTGAACATTTTAGATATGGTGAATTCTACTTTGAATTTTTTAGCAATCCGAAGTGTGTGTTTTTAGGATTTTGTAGGTGTTCTTAATTTTTTTATAATTAGGATTTTTTTTTTCATTGCTGTTCGATTAGGTGCAAAGTGACTGAATATTTTTTATGCAACTATTATAGTTTTTTTTTATGTTTTATTTTTTTGATTAAATTATCACCATGAAGTTAGATGGAATTTTTTTTTACATGAAACCAGTTATGTTGTATTATATTGGATATTGTTGTAGACAAGTTTTTAATTATATTATGATATTGTATAATTATGTTGGATTATGTTGAGCCTGGGCATGGGTGGGGGCGGGTGGCAGGGGTGAAGGTGGGTGGCGAGACGAGGGGACGGGGACGAAGATAAAAATTAGTCTCATTAGCGGAAGTAGACTGAGGATGAATAGACTTTTTTTAATAAGCAATGCGGGTAGAGACTACTCCCCCACGCCCGCTCACGGCCATACCTACTCTCATTCGATCAATCGTCCTCCATTGAGAAAGTTGACACTCCTCAGAAAACTAACGAACCTAGTTCAGGTGTTTGAGGAAGTTGTCAATCAAGATGAGAAAAAACTTGGGTGCTGAGAAGCCAATGGGCATGTTTTTGAAAAGGAAGTTTTACTGTGCCAAACTAACAAAACCTCATGATGTCGTTTTTCTGTAACAAGTAACAACAGAGGAGCTGTTTCCCGTGTCGTTTATTTGCATTGTCATGTTGATCGATGTGAAAATCTATTCTATTTGCATTGCTTTGATCGGTGTTGGGTAGAAATTAAAGCATGATGATGTATGTAGATGAGTTAGTCCATACGTTTCTCTTAGAAAAACAATTATTTGAACCTAATTTATTAATTTTAAGATTAACAACACTTTTAGTCCTTAAAGTATATATTTTTTGTCAATTTAGTTCTCAATGTATCAATTTGACCTATAAAGTATTCAATTCGTATTATTTTGATCTTCACATAGCCAGACCGTTAAGTTTTTTATAGAAGGATCATGTGTTAGACACGTGATGATGTCTAAAAAAATAACACGTGATCATTTCCGTCAAAAAACTTAATAATCTGTCTTTATGGGAATCAAAATAACACGAATTGAATATTGTAAGGATCAAATTAATACATTAAAGACTAAATTGACAAAGAATTCATAATTTCAGAACTAAAAATACTATTAATCCTTAATTTTGTTTATTGATCTAATACATTTTAGTTATTGAATTAATAATAGGTCTCAATTAATATTAGGGTTCATTATCAATTTAATAATATAATAATGATTAAATCAACAAATTATATTCAAGTAGAATTTTTTTTTTTAATGCTAAAGATCGCCTCCTTTCCTAAGATTCTTAGATATAGAAAATCTTGGAGTCACAATAATCTTAAGATGCACCCCACTGGTGCTTTAATATTTTCGAAGTGTAAAAGCCTATAAAGTAATATTAGGGATCGTCCCCATGTATCATCCCTTTAAAGTACGTAGCTTAAACTTATTCGTTATTAAATTTAAGGTTAATTATAATTTGTACCCTAAAAGATTACTCGAATCTTAATTTACACTCTTAAAGTTTAAAAATATCAATTTATACCATAAAAAGACATAAATTTATATCAATGTGCACCTGGCGTTAACTACTGTCCATTTTGCCGTTAAAAAAGTTTGAATTAATTATAAATTATACCCTCAAAGTTTAAATATTTCACATTATGATCCAAAAATAATTTCATCCATTAATGCTCGTTAAATAAATTTCAATTGTGTCGTTTTGTAATATTTTCGTGTCGTGTTCGAGTCAATAAAAAAATATTTTTAAATAGTTTTTAAAAAATTATAAAATACCTATTGTTGTCTACAATACTCATAAAATAATTATTTTTTATCTATAGTATCCGTTAAGTCATATTATTCGTATCTAATTTTAATTTGATCGGATAGTCAAAAGATTCGTGTCAAAACTTTAGACAGAAAATAGTTATTTAACGAATATTATAGGTAAAAAAATTAGTATTTTATAATTTAAATAGTATTATATGAATTGTCTTAAATGTGAAATATACGATACAATACAATCGATTTGACACGAAAATATTATTTTGTGTTACATTTTTTTTTGTACTAACTCGTATACGACACAAAAATTATACGACAAGACACAAAATGATACGACACAAAAATGTTACGATAGGACACAATTGAGAGGTATTTAACAGTATTAATGGATGCAATTCTTTTTAGATCATAAATGTGAAATATTTAAACTTTGAAGGTACAATTTACAATTAACCCAAACTTTTTTAGCGACAAAATGAACGTCAGTTAGCCCAGGTACATACTGATAGGAACTTATGTCTTTTGGGGTATAAATTAATATTTTAAACTTTGAGGGTACAAATTGATTTNGGGAAATCGGATAAACACTTTTATAGTTATTAATTTTTGTATCATTTTAATAATTCAATTAAATAACATGCACTAATTTAACAATACAATAAATCAATAACACTAAAACTTAAAACAACTACAATAACAATTACAATAAAACACTAGAAACTATGAATATCAATCCATCATAATTGTTAAACAAATACAATAACAATTATTTTAAGTTTAAATCATATGAAACACATTAAAATCATAACTCCAATAGATCACCAGTATATTACAAATTATGTAATCTACACAAAAAATAAGTCCATGTTTTAGCAACTCAAATATCCATAATAATAACAATGTTATAATATAAATTATACCATACAAATACTCTTATAATTACTAAAAAAATATATAAAAAGTTTAAATATATATTTTGCGGATAGAGTAGGACAGGAATGCGAAAATTGATGGGTATTCTGCATTCTTACCTGATTTAATCGGAAGAGCAAAAACTCTTCTACATTCCTATTCAATTTTTGCGGCTAGCCGTTCAATAGGGTGGGATAGTATCGAATAGGATAAGAAATTATGGTCAATCGAAAATTTAAACACTTCTAATTTTAACGTTGAAAGAAATTTTTAAATTGATTTGGATATTATAATTCCATAACTGACGACAATTTTTATTTCTTCCCAATTTTAGATATGAAATTCAAAATTGCTTCTTCTTCATTCAAAGGTCAATTTTCCCTTTGCTGATTTTTATAAATTTTGTATTTCAAACTGATCTCCTTCAGTATTTCTTTCTTGTAGATAGGCATAACTAATGTTCTTTCGCCATTAACAAAGCGTAGTCAAGCTTGATGTTTATGGGATCAGAGGACCATGGGAAAGAGGTATACACATCTAGGAAGAAGAATGACTTGATCCTGTTCAAGAATTGCAACAATGGTTTCATGACCTTCAGTGAGACATCGGATCGAAACGTTCCATTAGATGGTGTAAACAATGATTCAAAAAACGTTCATAGCCAATGGCGTCCCAACTTTAATCTTATGGAGCTCGTATTTTTTGACTAGTATTTGATGCTATTTCTACTCATGGCCGGCACGTGATTGAACCATCTTGTTGTAACGGGTCGGCTCAATATTTCGTTTCCGACTAAGTGGTGTTGGATTATGGTTTCTGCGTAGAAAGGGAAGACGTTGGTGATGATGACCTATTGACCGGCTAAGGTTTGATTTGAAGAGATGTTGGTGATGATCTCGTTAGGGACCATGATCTCACGAGACATTTACTGTTTTTGATTTTAAATAGGATTAATTTCACTATAGGTCTCCAAAATATAAAATTTGTCTCATTTTGGTTTATAAAATATTGAATATGTTTTTATATGGTCATTCAAGTAGACAACGTTTAGATTATTAACGATTTTTTTATCATAAATTTGTCACGTAATACTTAAATATGAACAAAAAATAATTTTGATAGCTCTTAAAATAAATTTGGGTAACTCTTGACAAAAAATGTATAATATAGGCAACTTTTGACCAAAATTTGGATACCTTATGATCAAAACTGTGTAATTTAGATAGCTATTTAACCAAAATTTAAGTAAAAATTTGGTCAAGAATTATTCAAATTATTTTTTTGTCCATGTTTAAGTATAACATGACAAGTTTATGATAAAAAAATCGTTAGCAATCTGAACGCTGTCTATTTGAAAGACCATATGGAAACATAATCAATATTTCAGAGACTAAAATAATGCAATTAAGATATTGAAGACCAAAATGAGACAAACCCCATATTTTGGAGACTTCCAATGCAATTAACCCTTTTAAATATTATTGTTAATATTTTTTGGTTTTAAATATTATTATTTTTTGGTTTTAAATAATACTGTTTTTAGAATATTGATCTAAGATTGTAGTGATTGTTCAATGTTACTATCTCTAGTTTTAAATGTTATTGCTATTAGTTATCATTGTGTTTATGTTATTGTTAATGTCTTCCATTATCTTTAGTTTCAATTTTATTGTCTTTGATTTTAAATGTTATTATTTTTTGATACCATTGTGTTTATATTACTATTCAACGCTGCTATCCTTCGATTGTCTCAAATAAATTCTTCGGCCACCACCCCCATTTCTAACTGCAACTCTCTCTCTCCCCCCAGCAGACCGTCACACACACACTTCCTCTAACAGTCTTTCTTGTACTCCCTCGCACAACTTTCTCTCTCTCTCGCCATAGACGCACGAAGCGCCACAGCATCACCGTCGGAGCCACAATTCCACCACCAAGGTTTTGTCCTCCCCTCCCCTCCTTTCTCTTTCCCATCTCCTACTTCATACACAGATACCCCTCCACCAGATTCTCTTCCCCAAACCCCCAAACGCATGCCCTTTCCCTCCCCTCTTTTTGCTACACACACAGACACAAAACTTCTGATTTCACACACATACACATACGCCCATCCACACACCACCTCTCCCCTATCTGAGCACAAAACCTCCCTCCCCCCCCCCAACCCTCAATTTCTCGCAGCCTGCTTTATTATATTGATTCTCTTCCCTCTTTTATTATCTTAATTATAATACATCTAATTACTTGCATTCAAGTGTGCATGCAAGTTGTTCGATGAAATGCCTAACAAAAACTTGATCTATCGAAACACAGTGTTTCATGGCTATTTTCAATCTATAGATTTTCCCTGCTAAGTGTCTGTTATTTACATCAATTGTTGGTTTCTTTTCAAAAACATAATAGGGTCTAATTGTTATTGTGAGACCCAATCACGCATTGCACATATATTAATATAATTTTATGGGTTAAATTATAATTATGTAAAATTATTAAAAGGTGAATTAAATTAAATCTTTTATAGTCATGATGTATGTGAGCATACATTGGATAGGTAGACCCCGTTAGTGTTGTATGAGTGAGACCATTTATAGGAATTTCATGTGTAAAAATATTAGTGGGTCGATTTTAAAAGTATTTAAAAATTTGGGGGAGCAAGTGTAATTATTCGCCTAAATTTACACATGGTTTTAAAATAAAAATAAAAGTGTGTTGTGTGTGCTTGTCGTGTGTGTGTGTGTGTGTGTGTTTAAAGGTGTTGAGTGTGTGTTTGTGTTAAATCAATTATAAAGGGGTGTGTGTGTGTGTGTGTTTAACATAGTAAAAAGTGTGTGTGTGCGTTTGATAGAGTTCTTTTGAGGCCGTGAGTGAGGAGAGCAAGAAAGGAGAAAAAAAAGAAAAAGGAGATTATCCATAACTTATATTTTAACTTATATAATCCAAGAACTAAATAAATAAATCTAAGAAACAAAATGACCACAAAAAATTACCTGGGCATAAAGAAAAGGGTCCGCAACAAAATTACTGGGGAAACCAGCATCAGAAGCTGAAGCACAAGTGACAACAGGGTTGGCAACAGGCCATGCCGCACTCTGATCCTTCCATATATTCATCTGTCACCCATTTCAATTCAAACCCATATATCAAAACCCCCAAAAACCCAAAAACCAACAAAAACCCAGAACCTAAAACCAATAAAAATGACAGAAAATAAGCTTATAAAACCTAAAAATAGAATAGGTTTGGGAGAAAAGCATGAAAAATTACCGAAATTCAAGAAAGCTAACACATGCAAACATGCATATAACATCAAAGGTGATATAAAACTTACAGCTTCAATGGGTTTGAGAGAAAATGGTGAGTCACCGTAGAAAACACCGATGGACCAAGACCCTTCATTGTCCTCATGACACCCAAGCGAGGACATACCTGTACGGACATTGGGGGTGAACATGGACCACGCATAGAGGGTCGCAATCGAGCCCAAGAACACGAATGATGCCAAAAAGAAGGCGAATGTCGAAGAGAGAGTACGATGATCCTGCCGCCACCGGCACCACCACCACCCACCGCCGTTGGTGGCGGCGCTTGACGTCACAATCGGGCTGGAACCCATCTCAGAAAAGGGACGCCGGAGGGGAGGGAGGTCGCCGCTGGTCAGATCTCACCCGCGGAGGTGCATGTGAGGAGAGAGAAAGTCCAACTGAAACCAGCATTACATAAATCTAAGTATATATATATTTATATATAGGTATACATAGATTACATACAAAGTCTTTCTTTCGACATATGGGTGTTCTTGATATATATTTGAAATGACAGAGGCGGTGAGAGACTGCCCTTGTTCTTGTCTTCTCTCTCTAGAATTGGGACTCAAAGGTGGCAGAAAACCCGCGGTCACGTTGCAGGCGAAAAACGTTATTGCTTACAACATCCCTGCTGTATATATGCACCTGTATATATATAACGTGCGCGGGTGTGTCTGAATACATCTGTTCACATAAATATTTATTTTGACAATAAATGAATTGAAATTTGTTTTAATAGGTATTATAATCTTATTTCGTCATTCAAGAAAATTGTCCAAGTCTGCATCCGAACTTCTAGAGTAATCCTAGTTGCAATTAAAGAAGTAATATAATTTATTAATATAATACGAAACGAACACCATAAAAAAATTAGAAGATTAACTCTACCTTCAGTCACTCGTTTAATAAATTAGTGGATCTAACCCGTCATTATTAATAAATAAATGGGGTATAAATGAAGTCAATCAGAAAAATTAAACGACACGATTCATTTATATACCAATAATACACGGTTCATATATGACACAAACTTAATATAACACAATTTGTTATACACGAATTAATAAATAAATCCAATACAAGAGAATTAATTTTTTACACGAACCCGCCTTACTCTACAAGATTGACAGGCCTAGGTGCGACAGTGATATGGTCCAACAGTGTTATTGTAGTGGTAAGTGTTGAACTTTTTCATTGAAATTCTATCACTTGACACATCATTGTATAAATAAATTAAATTAAATTATTTTTTTAGATTCTAATAGCATTGCTCGAGCTTTTCAACACAACTTGATACAATAGTGAATTATGTAAAAATGTTATCTAGGGATAACTCGTACCTAAAGGTATGGTACAATATAAATAGTTTTGAGAGAGATATTGATATTCATTAGATAAGTTTATTTGAGATCGTTTGATAAACTTATTAAAATATACTATGTTTTATATTATAGATTGACCAAAAAAATAAACCTAAAATAAAGCTCAAATAATATGACAACTAATATGGTAAGTAAATCTAAAATAAAAAATGTCACGTTATTTGACTTCTATTTTTTATCTTATTTTTTTTATCAATCTAATATTCTTGCAGAAGAATAATACAACATTATATTTAAAAAAAATATTTTTTAGATAGTTGTCAAATTATTTAAATTGTGGTCAATCTCATTATTATGATGCTTATGTGGAAAACAAAATTTGGTATTAAAATTTATTTGGAAATTAATTTTATAAATATTTGTAAAGAATAAGTATTGGTAACTAGAATTTTACTTAGATAATTGGTATGAGTAAAAAACACTAGATATTTTTTAAAAAAAAAACATAAAATGAATTATTGATAGATTTTAAAATGAATTTGAAAATAGTAATGAGAGGAAGGATTATTTATATTAATAAACATTTTATAGAACGCAATGATTGCATAAATCACGCTATAAAATTTCAATAACCGCTTTATTTTAATGTATTTTTGTTAGATAATTATTTATATTTATAATTTATTTTTTTAAAAAATAACATGATATTAATTCAATACAACTCGATTCTTACACTTAGTTTACCATTGTGTAAATCTCCTTAAATATATTTTACTATTTTTTTTGAGTTAAAAAGAAAATTAAAAAAAGTTTTTTATTTTTGTCAGGTGGGCCCATAAAATCTAAATGGTAAGATATGTATTTATATTGATAAGGGTTAGAGATCTGTAACACTCGAAGCAACAAGTGTGTTAAGTCCACTCGCGGTTAGCTATTGACAACTGTAAAGAATAGCAGCTCCACTGTTTACCAAGTGGCTTCACTTGCCGCGTTTATGTCACGCGATTGACGAGGATGTCTACTTACAATTTTAATTTCAAAAAGCCTTTTTTTTAAAAGAATTTCAAAATGGGAACATTTTCTTCTATTTTTCCTCAAAAAATGTATAAATTTGAAAATTTATTTTCAATAAAATGTCGGGGCTTCTCGATTTCATGCAATAAAAAATCGATTAATTGGAAATATCCGAGAGAAGGAGGAAAACTAAGAAATTTAGTGTCTCATCCTCTCATAAATCAACATATTCAATAAAAAAAAAGTATTTTTGGTCAAACAATACTTTGTTATTAGAACGCCTTACGATAAATACATTGAATAATCTACAATCACAAGAAATAATTTTAATATATGCTAGAACGGGGCTCAAGGCTTGAAATTACATTCGAAAATGTAAATATAAGTTTTTAGCATTCATAGGTCAAATATTTGAAAACATTGTAGCTCGTAATTCCTTAAATTCTTTTTTTTTTCCTTAAATTTTCACATCTAGGGCCTGTTTGGTTATGAAGAAAAAATTGATGAAAAGTGAAAATGAAATAAAGTGAAGTGAAAGAAAAGAAAATGATATAAAATATATTTTCATGTATGTATTTGATTAGAATAAAAATTTTGCGGGAAAATTTAAAAAAAATTATTTTATTGTTTGAAAAAAAGGAAAGTTATAAGAAATTTTTTATAATTGTCTAAATTACCTTTAATTATATTAAATCAGTCTAAAAAGGAAAAAAAATATGTAATTATAATTAAAAATTAATTTTTTTTTTAAAAAAAGTAGCTTGAAACCTAATTTTATGACAATCACCAACACAAAATTCTTTTGGCAAAATTATATGATTAATCAAATTTACACCCAATTTTTTTTAAATTAATAACTAATAAAATATTTTAAGAAAAATAATGATAAAATGAGAAGTTAGTTATAGATCACAACTTTCTTACATTTCTTTGTGTTTTTTACAAAGAAAAAAAGTTGGTTATTTCTATTAATTTTTTTTCATGCTAATCAAACACATAAAAATTTTAAAAATTTTTCTTTTTTACATTTATTACCATTCTTTAGCTAAACAAATGAAGCTACAAGTAACTTATGAGCTGGAACCATCCACCCACTAAATGACAAAAGGGTTATTTGGCAAACCTAGGATTATTCAAATTCATAGGCAAATATTATAAGAGTTGTCTATGATCCTCAAAAAATATGAGAATATACCGACAACAGTTATTATATTTGTGGATATTTTTATCACTATTATTAATATTTTTACTACTATTATAGTACCAAAAAAAGGTAATAAAAATAATTACCATAACAGTAAAAAAAATATCTATAAATATAGTAATTCATTTTTTACGAAATAAAAATAATAAAAATAATTACTACAACAGTAATAAAATCACCTAGAACAGTGAAAAAAATACTTATAAATATAGTAAATCAACAACAAAAGTGACAAATTTTTTTGTATCGAAGAAATATGGTAAAAATAGTTATCATAACAGTAGTAAAAATACTCATAAAAAGTGATAAATCACCCATAACAAGTGATAAAATAATTTTTTTATTGTAAAATGACCTACACAAATTTTAAGAACACCTATTAAATTAGTAAATTTTGAAATTACAGTACCAAATTTTTTTTAATACCCTACCCAAGTCCTAGATTATAAAGGGAAAATAAATGGTGGCGGCTCATTAACATGAATGTTGATTTCTGTGTTTCGGAAATATTTTGGTCCATTTTGAAAACAAAATAAAAAATAAAAATTTAAGAATTATTTTTTTTAAATATTAGTCAAAATATATCAAAATATCTTAAAATACCTTAAAACATTCTGAAATAATTATACAAATGCATTGAAATATAACAAAATATTTTGAAACATTATGGAGCACCTCCGAGCATTAAAATTTCAATTTCATCACTGATTCGTTTCGATTTTTTTAAAAATCGAAACATTTCGAATATTTCGACCATTTTGAAATAATATTTTAATTCTTGCTAACAATTAGTACGACTTTTGATATCAAATAATACCCATGTATAAATGGAACTTAAGAATGATAAAGAAAAATATTATAACTCTGGTAAGACTTAATCTCAGACTGTGTTAAAAAAAACAAATAAATCATGAAAAATAACTCATATAAATTCATTTTTCAAAGACCAATGGATCGGTCTAAATAAATTCTTAACATAAACGACTAGGAAAACAATTGTACTATTTGTACGATTTGATACCGATCATATCAAAAGACGAAAAAAATATTATAAGATTGATAAGACTTAGATCTCAGATTACGTCGGAATACAAATAAATCATGAGTTCCTCAAATAAATTCATTTTGATGATATCATTTTCACACTTGATTGGTCAAATGTGTTGTTGGGTGGTACTGGTAGCTGCTGACAACTCCGACAATAGAAGAGTTTTGTTGTTTTTATTGTAAATAAATTAATTAATGGCCACTGGGAATAAATTCAATTTGATTTTGGAAATATTTGGGGCTACAAATACTTTGGGGAGGCCCTGTTTGGGGATGTCCTGTTTGGGGATGTAGCATTTGACTGAAGCATTCAACTAAATTAAAAAAAAAAAACAAGTTGGTCTCAAACCTGACTTTACCTTTTTTGTTTTCCCCAGGTCTGTTCTTGTAACAAATCCACCAACCACATGGGAAATTAAAAACAATTCAAATTGTTGCCTTCTAGGTGAAGTAGCATAGGTTGACCTCTTTTTTTCTAATTTGTCTGCCAAATCTTTTGTTTCTGTCGATGAAAAAAAATAATTTATAATATAAAATATGATAGATTTTAATAAGTTTATTCGACAGTTTCAAATAAATTTATTTATCGGCCACCAATATCTTTCTTAAAATCATTCACATTACATTGTATTTTCAGACATGAATTACTCCTAATAATGATTTAAAACATAGAGATTGAATTTAAATCGTCCCTATTAAAGTATAACTTGACTTGTTCTAA